TCTAAAGTACGTATACTTGTATGGAATGAAATGCTAGAAATTAAGTGTCTGGTTTTATTTAATTATATAACCACTACCGGAAATGTCTTACTTTGTATCGAGGTAATTTTTGAGGAAAAAATGAGTGGTTTACAGTAAAGGGGCTCGATCAAATTCTTCTGAAACGATTTAATTGACAAGAAAAAAGTCTCTCGAAGCGAACGATGTCATTTTAAAGTAGGTTATGTTTGATATATTAACAAAATACAAGCTTGAAGCGGGGGTGCCTGAAATTGAGTTAGGTACGTATACCTTGTGGTAAAAATAAGTAGGGATGCCCCCTATACGAAACGAGTTTCTGTGATTGCGTGACCTAAACTCTCGAGATTAGTACGATTCTCAGAAAACCATTGGACTTTCAGTAGGACGTGACTTTCTCGACACTACGTAATTTACGTCTCTCAAATGGCGTATAGACTCTCATTGGTTAAGACATTAATAACATCAGCAACTTAAAATTGTTGTTGGGAACAATGAGTCGACTTAAGCCCACCTCTCTGTCGTCCGAAACGCTATCATTGGATCATTGATACACTCGTTGACATTCGCCGGAACGTATATTTCAACAGTGAATGAAAGGCTGTGTAAATTTCAGACGTTGATTATGTAACGTCGAGAATACCACAACTTACTGAAAGTCCAAGGTTAACTGAGAATTGTACTAAAACTTCTGGGTCAGGGGTGACAATATTGTACACATTGATTTTTTTCTCAGTCTCAGAGTTACAGCTTTGTCATAATTTTTGTACTTAACTTTGCAATGACGTATTCAATATGACCTTGGATCAAAAACCATCCTTTAATAGGAAATGGACGACAATCACATTATTAGCTAGTTTCGTTTTTTACACAGAATAAACAAACAGATGAAACAAGAATACGTTTCTGCCCTGTGGAAACTAACTTTAGATGCCCACTTTCATGACCTTGAACTAACATACCGGGTATTAATTAAGGGACAAAAAAATCGCCTTTCCTGCTTCATTTAAGACCAAAAGGTGTCTCTGTCCCCGTGAAAAGCAAAAAGGATCAAATAGACTTAGTTCATTGAACCAAATGTTTAACCAAACATAAACCTCAGTCAAACTTCTCTGATTCTTACTTGATAAAATACTAGTATACAGAGAGGAACTAAGACTCACTGCGCGTGCATGTGTCAGCCAGTGGATGAATATATTCTTCCTGCGATGCACAAGAGTAGATGAGCGCAAGAACTGCAGGGAAAATGTGTGAAATATGGTCAAGGGTCCACTACTTTATATGCCGTAATGCCTGTCTTTTACTAAGAGCACTTACTTAAGATAAAGAAATATCATTGCAGCAAGATTGTCTAAAATCGAAATGCGCATTTTGTTTGAAGTCGATGTGCGCATTTTGGAGAAAAGGGTGTGTTGGTTCACTTTGGAGACGATTGCAAATAGTTCATGTGGTTGGTTCAAGGAAAAATGTCTATTACCGTACCGTAAGGGATCTGAAGAAATTTGATTGATATCATGCATTAGAAAAAAATCCATTGAAAAAAAAACATACTGATATAACAACGACGAAATTCTTCGTCAAATCCAACTTATTCTGCGAGTACATAAACTATAGTTTAAAATTGTTTACTTTAAAAAATATTGCACTGGTCGCGAACTTCTGATATCATACTCTGGAAACATTCATTTAAAGTTGAAAAATAATACAGAAGAAAATCTGAATAACAGGAAATCCTAGGATATACATGTAGGAGGAGAGAGGATGAACGCGAGTTAAAAATATTTGTGTACAGGATCGATCATTAATTCTCTTCAAGTCCTCTAATAAATATTAGATCCATCTCTGATAGAAAATATATATATATATATATATATATATATATATATATATATATATATATATATATATATATATATATATATATATATATATATATATATATATATATATATATAGTACTAAAATGATTTTCGAGATTTGTGATTTCTGACTTTTTTTCATTGGACCAAAACACTGGATTTTTCTTATATATATATATATATATATATATATATATATATATATATATATATATATATATATATATATATATATATATATATATATATATATATATATATATATATATATATATATATATATATATATATATATTTTTATATATATATATATATATATATATATATATATATATATATATATATATATATATATATATATATATATATATATATATATATATATATATATATATATATATATATATATATATATATATATATATATATATATGTTGCTGTTTTTGAGGTATATCAATACAATGATTTAGCCATCTGAGAAAATATATATATATAGTATATCTATATATATATATATATATATATATATATATATATATATATATATATATATATATATAATATTCACCGAGCCCGAATTATATATAGGTATATATATATATATATATATATATATATATATATATATATATATATATATATATATATATATATATATATATATATATATATATATATATATATATATATATATATATATATATATGGTCAATACAATGATTTAGCCATCTGAGGAGTACAATATTCACCGAGCCCGAAGGGCGAGGTGATTATTGTACTTCGAAGATGGCTAAATCATTGGATTGACCGAAAAAACAGCAGTAATTGTTTTATTATATGATTCACCGATAAAATTATACAGTTCATTACTTGTTTGCATTTAATTAAGTCATAGCCAAATACAAGAGAGAAGCAAAATTAAAATGTAAATAAACCTTACTAGTTGTAGCAATTTGAAATGTTTTTTATTTTTTTTTATCAATTTTAGTTGCCATGAAAAAAATGTGTCAGTTTTTATAGGATAGATTTTGAAATGAAGAAGTATTATCAGAGAACACTGACAGCCAAACAGTAAAAATTGTTGTTCAGTTAAAGTGTTGGAGGGGGTCCCTGCATCCCCTCTTACCACCCTCACCCGAAAATATATATATTCGCATATGTTTTGTTCACATGAAAAAAAGTCATGGTCGTTGAAATAGCTTTCCAAAAAGATTTGTATCAATTTGGAATTTCCCGATCTATTTTTAGATCAATGTAGAGGAAATAAATCCTTGTATTCACCTGGAACGTCACGTGCAGGTCAAAACAACGTAGTATTTTTCTAAAATAGTTGGATATCAGCCAATCAGAGAGATGGAAATTATTCAATCATATAATAAATAAATAATATATATATATATATATATATATATATATATATATATATATATATATATATATATATATATATATATATATATATATATATATATAATATCTCAGGAATATCAAAACTACCATTCAAAAATAAAAAAAAAATCAAGAGGTCCATGGGCCACATCGCTCACCTGGGCACTGTGGCTAAGAAAAAAAACATTGATCAGTTCAGTATTGAAAAGTTTAAATCTAAGTTCATAGTTGTCCCAACTTACCCTTAGAGGGGAGAGTGCTATGATTTGAACAAATTTAAATACTTAAATCTACACTTAGTACTACCTACTCAGGACGCTTGCATATTTCTTTGACTAACTGTGTTTTTTTAACCCTTTAAGTTTGAACTTTTATTGAGGTCCTACCCGAAGCCCGCCCCCGGTTGACCGATCATGGCTTTGCTGTTCTTGAGATTTTTTTTAAAGATTTCCTCACATATATATCTATGTAAAACTTTGATCATTCATTGTGGCCCTGTCCTGCTTCAGGGGGTCATGATTTGTAAAAACTTGAATTTACACTACCTGGGGATGCTTCCATATAAATATGACTAATCATGACTTTGCTGTTCTTGAGAAGAAGGCTTTTAAAAAGATTTCCCCTTTACATTCCTATGTTAACCTTTGCTCATCCATTAAGACCCCACCTTACTCTGGGGGTTATGATATGAACTAAATTGAAACTACACTACCTGATAACGCTTTCATAAAAATATGACCAATCATGGCTTTGCTATTCGTGAGAATATTTTTCTTATATATTCCTATGTAAAACTTTGATCGGGGGTCATGATTTGAACAAAATCGAATCTACAGTACAGGAAGACAAACAGACAGACAGATGGACGTACAAAGCAAAACTACGTACATGCTCCTGAATCTTCGACTACGGGGACATATAGAACAAACAAACAAAAAACCTGCACATGCATCAAATGAGCTAATCCTATCTGTCTATATAAAAAAAAACGTTTAGGGACTATTTGGTCAATAGATGTACATCCCTGACGCAACTCTCTAATATGAGGAAACGATTAACCACTTCCTTTTGTTACTTCGTTCCGTTCTAATAATTGCACCACAACAATTTAGACATGCGGCCCTACACGTGAATAAATGAGCAAGTATGCACAATATTAATCCTCATATTTTTTTTGACCAATTACTAGTGCTAAATTAAGTAAATAAAAAAAAATAATTTAAAGATTTATTTTTACTCAGAATTGAACTAGGTCGATGGATGTATTTCAGCAGATATTCCCGTCGTATTGAAATATGATAAAATGACATATGTTGTTTCGATCATAAAGAGAAAAAAAATCAAGCTATTTCAGCATTATTTTACTATTATATTTTCGACTGCAATTGATTTATATTTTTTTAATAATATGGTTATTGGATTTTTCATAAATCTTTCAATGTTTAAATAAGAGATAGGGGAAATATAATGCATGTGGGCAGATTTTCTATATTCTGTATTAATTTTTTCAGCTTCAAGTTTTGCATCTTTTCCTATCAAATCAACACTTTTATATATACACACTTCAAATATCTTTAATATTACAGTTTTTGAAAAATAATTCGTTAGCATTTTGCAAGAGATGCAATTTCCTCTTGGTTCGAGATATAAAATACATATGTTTGCCATGATATGATTAACAGATAAACAAATAAACATGATGACGTAACGATCATAGTCCAGTGGAACAATCTACGCAGGATAACATTATATATAAGGCCACGGGTCTTTGTTTCGCCTTAGATTGTTAATTAAGCTGTTAATTATGAAAACTCTTCTTATTTCCTGTCTTTTCTCCATTGTGGGGTATACCTCGGCCCAGGTATTTAGGCTGGGAGGGTGCCCGGATGTACCAGTACAAAGTGAATTCGATGTAGATCAAGTAAGTACAAGCTGCTATTACATGTGTAGTTTAAAATTATCTAAAAATATCACTATAAAAAACAACAACAAAGCAAATAAAACAAACAGCTTCTTTTTGTTAAAGAAAATAAAAACGTCGCTAAAGATTTTTTTCACGTTATTTTTAAGATATCAAATCTGACATGCCAAAAAAAAAAAAAGCAAATTCAAAGAATTGTGCCCCCCCCCCCCCCCACGAAGAGGAGTTCCCCTTCTAACTGAATCTTGCTATGGGTAAAATGTGTGATGGCTTTGTTTTAATACAGATGACAATATTACACACCAGTGTAAAATATCCTAAAATTTGAAGGCAAGTTGTATTGATTGTGAAATATTTTGTCTTTTAAGTGTGAGAGAGGGAGAGAGAGAGAGAGAGAGAACAATAGTCCATGTGATATCAGCATCGTCAATCATGGACAATATTTAAATAACCTAAGTGGGAGTAACAATAACTGTTCCATGATGGCAATTGTAACCCCACCAAGTTATCCGTTACCGATAAATAATAAAAATTGAAATCATTGTCAACCTGGTCAAGCAAAAGTTTTTTTAATAACACTATTTTTTTCTCAAGCAAATACGCAACTGGCGACAAAATTTAATCATGCAAAAAATTATCTTGTCTGTGAACCCTTTTCTTCACAAGCCCTATTTCCCAGAACCACTGAGGCGATTTCAATTGTCTCCAATCATCCATGTGTGAAAGGGGTTCTTTAGGGTGGAGACAAGAAAAGTGAAATTTTGATGACATCATTTAAATTCTTTTTTAAAAAGAAACACCGGATCTGAGAAGGCAGAACTTGAAAGATTTTACCATTTTGATCTTGCAGTATTACGGTAGTTGGTACGAGTTTGAGCGTTACTTTTTCATTGCTGAGGAATTATTAAGGTGTTCTGCAGCATCCTATTCCCCTAAACCAGATGGCACCATTGAGGTCATCAACTCAGGAATTAATTTTATGTAAGTTCAACTTTTAATCGCATTTCTTACAAGTTTTCGTATACTTTAAAATCTTCTAAAAGCAGCAATCTAATCACTGGTAATTGCACAGCAAAATATACATAGATTTACCTCACTGTTATTTGGTACTTATCATCAAGCATATAGACCTGAAATAATAATTCAAAAATGACCCTGACCTTATTTCAGAACGGGGCGTAACTCTTCCGTGACAGGAACGGCTACAGTTGACCCCGCCGCCGGTGACCCCGCCAAGCTAAGGGTCAGCTTCGGGAGATGTAAGTAAACCTTACGATGAGGCCCACTGAAGGGTCACTTTTTCGTTTGAATTAACGTTTGACCCTTTCTTAATTATTGAATCCTGTCAATTACGTCTAAGTTTTTTAAAGTTTTGAAACATCACTTCCTTACAGTTTCTAATGGTCCCTATTGGGTGTTGAAGACCGACTATGACCAGTATTCAATTGTTTATTCTTGTACTAATATCTTCTTTGGAAAAGCACACACGGGTAAGAATTTCTAAATTAATATTTAAACATTAGCTGCTCACATGAATAATTGTACATGTAGTACTCTATTTTGTTCACTCTTTTACAATTGCACTCTTGTGATGTCCAGGCACCTAGCATCGTTTTTGAAAGTGGGGGGGGGCAACCTGAGAAAAATTTTTTTACTTACCTGAAAAAAGTTGACAAGCAAAAAAAAAAAATAATAAAATAAACCGAGAATTAAAGTTGCCCAAACTCGAAAATCCTATTTCGGGGGGTGGGGTGGGGGGGGGGGGGCACAACGTTTTTCAAGGCCAACTTCCTTTCACTTCCAATTATTTCCTATATTTCCTTGCTATCAATATACTGTGGTAAAAAGTGGGGGGCCAACTATCTTTTCAATGGACATTTTCTATAGTAAAGGTAATGTTGGGGAAAAAAGTGGGGGGGGGGGGGCTGCCCCCGTGCCACCCCCCCCCCCCCCCCCCCCGTTGCTACGTGCCTGGATGTCGAAGAGAATAAGTAAGTCAATTTAATAAATCAATGCTACTGACCGGTTTATTACGATTTTTCCTTTAAATATTAGATCAACAGTAAAGTCCGTAAAACAAGTCAGATTGTGACGCGTCTTTAAATTGGCGATTAAAATTTAATATGCTTTCGTTATCAGTTACAAACAAAGGGGAGGATATAGACTCTGACATTGAATAAGCTTCTCTTTCGCACATATTTCTACACATGAAAGAATTTATTTGAAAAATAATTGGTCCTGACATTTTTGTTGTTGTAATTGTAGAGGTGCTTTGGATTCTCACACGTGACAGAAGTGGCGTGACGGACGGAGTGAAGAGTGACCTTTATCAATATATCCGGCAAATCGGCCTTGACCCCAGTAAACTCAAACCCACGCAGCAGACAGATTGTTGATAGATAATTTATGATTTAACACAGTTTAAAGACGGTTATTACGAGCATTATTAAAGATATATTTGCATGTTATATAATTATGAAGAAAATTAGTAATAGATATCTTTTTTTCAGTTTTATCTTTTTTTTTAACTTGTGATTGATATTAATGTTAACATCCTTGGTTGTTCATCTGTTTGTAAATGTTGCATATGTTAAGTTGTTTTTTTTTCAAATATTATTCTGTTTTCTTTATTTTTCACTTTAAAAAAGAAAAGTATATTGTTGTTGGTATTTGGGATTGGCTTATATATAATTAACCTGAAACATCGAATGACCACACGCATTCTAGCTTTTATATAAGTCTGATGGACCCCTTGTTATTATCAATTTTCATTCATGAAAGAGGCGATGAAATATGTTTTTTTTAATGGATGTCGAAAACTGCTGTTTTTCAGACCGATCACTCGCCATTTTAATTAAGTACGAGAAATACAATGTATCAAGTATACAAAATAGGTATAGGTGTGTTATTAGATAAAATAATTTTTTCACCCAAAAATGGTTTGTGACACGTTTTGGGTATATCAACCCAGAGGTTTTTGAGAAGTTGAATTTCATAGAATTAATTTGCAGACGGGTGCAAGAAAAAATGTGATCAGAGAAGTCAACTTGAGACCTCGGCTTAGGTGAGCTAAAAGCGGTACTGGTTACACTGCTTAGCGTTTCCTAGAATTTCTAATTCTTTATACATGTATTTATTTGCAATGGATCTAGATTGTTTGTATGTTTACGTTCTTTTGGGATTGTTTCACTGATGTTACACGCTTACAGCTGCAACGAGAACTTCGTCTCCGCAGTGAAGGATCTCTCTCGTGTCAAGCACCTATCACGACACGTACAATCTCATACGAAGGACCGTTGGAATGAATAATCAAAGAAATTGCGAGGAAATTAAAGCCGAAAAAAAACCTTTTTCTAAAGGTCTTTATTGTTGAAAAAGCTTGATTTTAACTGGTGGAAGAAATTTAGCAGAACTGTAGTGATCAACAAACTTCATCGCCTTAAATAAATAAAAAAGTAAATATTTCTTTCATTCCTAAGCAAAGAACATTAAAATAACCTACCTTAGATAAGTGTCGTTTCTTGCTTTTCTTTGTCCTTTCTGAAGTCGAGACCCACTACAACATGTAAATCTGATTTGCCGTTGAGCCAAACTTCTTGTAGAATTCTGCTTTACAATCAATAATTCTACATCAGGGTCAACAAAGTTGTGATTCTATTAACAGTGCAGTAGATTTGCAATGTTTTGTTCACAGTGGCGAGATCGATTTTCATCTTCTATTCAATATTTATGAATTACTTCAGGTGAAGTATACAAGTTTGGGTGGAGAGAGCTCATGTACGGCTATTTTTGGATTGAGTCTTATGTACATAATTAAAGCTGCACACGATTCGTAAAAGGAATGTGTCCGCCATTTCTGTTCGGAGAATCGCTATACCTGCAGACCCCTGTACATGTATATTTAAGGGTCGGACTTTCTCACTGTTCAGTGTAATCATTCGACACCGGTGTAGACGAATGTATGCTATACAGCACTAGGTAGTGACAATAATAACGTAATACTTCGTCTAATGCAGGAAAGTAAAATACCAAAGAAATTTATAGTTGTACAGGTCAGTGCAGTATGCAAACAAACACAGGTACACGTAACTGCAATAAATTGTAAACAAAGTTAAAAAAAAAATTGTGACGTCATCTTTTGTTAAAACCTGGTTCAATAAATTTGTTATTGTCCTGCACCCCGTCCAGTAAGTTACCTGTAGATTGAACTTATTGGACAGGTACAGGTAACATTCAAATGAGAACAAAGAGCGAGGCAAATAAATAAACAGCACTTAAAAGGCAATGACAAATCAAACAATTTTTAAAATATGAACAAAATGTAGGAAATTAGTGGCATAAAAAGTTAATATTTCACAAAAAATCCTATTGGAAATGGCACAAATAATCCACAGCGAATTGAATGGCTCACATTCATGATTGTAGACGCATTTGTGGCTCCAATCGTAAATTTCCAAAATTCACCGTTTATTGCTATAATAGATTCATTTCACAATGACTGATCCACTGAACATACATAGAATCCAAGGGACACAAAAGAAAAATTAGAAGCATGCGTTTTCTTACACACAAACCTTGGGCTTTACGCTTTTTAAATATTCATTTTTTTTCCACCTTTAGCACAAAATTTCACTCACGAAATTCCAACGGAATATATAATTTCGTTCGGTCATTTATGACCCGCGTTGTTTGAGCTAGTGGCTGGAGTAAAATCCTTCTGAGTTCGAAACCTGCGCACAAAAGAATAACTGTTGCATTTTTTAAAATAACATCAGAAAATGTCATAGAAAATGCTTAAAGAGTGGTTGGAGTAAAATCCTTCAAATCCAATTGCTTAACAAAAATTACCTGTTAACGAGAAACTTTATCTTGCAAATTCCGAAACATAGGAATATATATCCGGATTGCGTTGTAAAATGAATAAATTGTCAAGAATTTTTAAAAAGAACTGACTTTTATGCATGCGTAGTATACGTAATGCAAGATAACCAGCACGAACACGGGTCGCCGTGACAATAAAGCAGTCAGGTGTGACGAATCTGAAGAGTATAGCCTGGTGTTGATGTATTATCGTTTTACAAACAGCGTGACAGTTTGCTTGATAGGGCGTGCTAAAATTCTGTATGCTGATTATCATTTTACTCATCGATTGGACGATTGATTTCAATGGAATCAATAATACTTTGCATATGAAGCCCAGAATACAACAATATCCTGATAATATCGGCCAATCACATTGAATGATTGTTCACCAGTGCGGCATTTGTACTCACCAGCAACACGTGGTCTGTCTAAGATCGCTTTCTGTCTTCAAAAAACGCGTGTATTATATTTGTTTTGATTTGACCGCATGGGGTTTTATGTAGGCCTACGTGCATGTATAAGAAAACTCAAAGAATGGAATTAGTAAGCAAGGCTACTCGGCTACTGTTGTACTAATGTAGCTATCATTTTAGGTTGTAAAACTTGCTTTGTCCGTCCACATGTTATTGTTGTTTACTGCATACTCGTAAACATGTCGTTCAAAACGATTGGTCAGTATTGTCAGTGGTATTGTTGGGTTCTCTGTTTCATATGCAAAGTATTATTGATTCCATTGAAATCAATCGTCCAATCGATGAGTAAAATGATAATGGGCATATAAAATTTTAGCACGCCCTATCAAGCAAACTGTCACGCTGTTTGTAAAACGATAATATCGTAGATAATGATATCGAAAATGGCGTATGCCTATTTAGGAGTCGTGTTCAGCTTTAACAAAGTGTAAAAATGACTGATAAGGATGGGGGGGGGATGATTACGAATGACTTTTTTCTTTTCGTCTTTTTATTATCGAAATAATTCAAGGAAAAGTTTCATCACTGCCATTAGAGCTTGACACATTTTTTTGCAGTCTTCAACTTTTATTTTTTCTTTTTTTTTTATGTCTTTTTTTTTTCAAATTAATTGGTTTTATCGGGTTTTTTGGTACTGCAAAATGTTTTGGAACTTCAACATTCAGAAAAATAACAGAGACAATAAAATACAGGTTAAAAATAAGTAACGTCAAGTGCCTGTGGGTTAAACCTCTTTATAATTCAGTCAATATCGGCTTCATATACCTTTGAGAACTTTCAGTTTATTATAAACTTGTAAAATTATTGAACAATTAATGGAATTCTATCTCAATAAATATATTATTCATAGACATTAGGGAGAAAAACAGAGAAATATGATGTGCCAGGAAAGAGCGGAACAAAAGATATATCAATCACAAGAGAGTTTTTGAACAATTAATTGTCAGATGAAAGCATACCATTTCACACTAGGGGTTTCAATGTTTTTGACAAAGTGTTCGAAGTGATTATCCATTTGCATTTTAGTTTCATAAACATTTTATTTTACAAACAAGTTCTTGTTGAAGATAAATTAATATGGAGTCAAACGCTCAACCGATGTGATTCTATTTATCTATGTACATTGTAACAACGCGAAATGTAATAACAATGCAAAATGTAACAAGCAAATTCAAAGAATTGTGGTCCCCCGCTTTCGGTGTCTTTGTGGATGAGATGTCAAATATGAACGCCCTATCATATGTCATTTAGAAATTATCACCAAAGTTGAATTTTTTATAGAATAAGGTCAATCGTAAAGGCCAAGGTGCAGGAGTCAGAAATCATAGCAACCTCGGAAATATTTTGTCATAGGTAATGCACATGCCAAATATGAAAATCCTATCTCTTCTCAATCAAAAGTTTAAAAAGTGGGCCAAACTCCAAGGTCAAGGTCAGAGGGTCAAAGTTGTTATCCGATGAAAGAACTTCTCACAAGGATTACACATGTGAAGTATGACAGCCCTAGCCCTTACCGTTTTAAAGTTATGGCCAAGGTTAAAGTTTTTTCATAAGTACGGAGATCTCCAAGGTCAAAGTTGTTGATATCCAATGAAAGGTCTTGCCACAAGGTATACATATGTGAAATATAAAAGTCCTAGTATCAACCTTTCAAAAGTTATGGCCAAAGTAAAAGTGTAAATTTTTTGTGTAAAATTGGGTCAAACTACGGTTCAGGTCAAAAGGTCAAATTTGGTGGTACCCAAAGAAATATGTGTGAAATATAAAGGTCATAGCTCCACTTAATCAAAAGTTATGGGCAAGGTTAAAGTTTTTGTGACGGACGGACAGACAGACAGACTGACAGACAGACAAATGAGATTTAATGTCCCCTCGCTTTCGCGAAAGCGGGGGACAATAAACCGGGATGACTGCGTAAATTTTGCGCTAAAACATTTTGCATTGAGATCATCGAGCGCTAAATGTAATAATCCGGGAATAACAACGCAAAATGTAATAAACTGGGAATCCCCCATTTTGCGTTGTTATTGTCCCCTGCTTTTGCGAAAGCGAGGGGACATTAAATCTCACCCGTCTGTCCGTCTGTCTGTCTAGCTGTCAGTCCGTCACAAAAACTTTAACCTTGCCCATAACTTTTGATTTAGTGAAGCTATGACTTTCATATTTCACATGTGTATTCCTTGTGACAAGACCTTTTTTGGGATACCACCAAATTTGACCTTTTGACCTTTTGACCTTGGAGTTTGACCCACTTTAACACAAAATTCCAAACTTTTACTTTGGCCATAACTTTTGAAAGGTTGATACTAGGACTTTTATATTTCACATATGTA